ACCACCTTAGAAAAGAATCACCCAACCCGGAGAAAGGTGGGCAGGTTACATTTTAAGAAACCACTTTAAATACATGAGCATTAGAGAATGCAGTAACCACACTGGGTGACCAGCATGGGAAGGGCTGGGGGAAGAGCTGCCCAGAACAGTCCCTTCTCTCTCATGCTCACCAGCAAGCCCCACCAAGGTTTCCCCAGCAGCGCACACCACCCCTGTGCTGAAACCTCTGACTGGTGCGTGGCTGGTCTGGACATGGGGTCTTGGCTCACCCACCCTGGCTCGGTCATTAGCGGTGCCAGGGCCCTGAGCCTAACTTGGAAGTGCTGATTTCCTCCCCAGCAAAACCAGGCTGTGAGGCCACCCCATTGAGCTGTGGGGAAAGCAAATGAAACACTGAGCAGAAGTCTGGGCTCAAACCCTGGCCCACAGGAGAGGCCCATCAGAACCAAGAGGCCACTCTCTGCATGTGGACAGAAGTGGGGGAGTCCATTAAGGGCTGGACCAAGCCAGGGTTCAGAGCCGCCACGACTGGACGTTGAGCCGCACACTGTGCAATTCTCTCTGAGAGGTTCTCCCGTCCAGAAACTCAGGTGCAAGAAATCATGACCAGGGGCCAGGGAGCTACCCGGGAAATCAGGCTGAGCCCACCATTCCAAGTGGTCCTCAGTCTTCAAGGCACTAGCTGGGGGTGAGATTAGGCTCTTCGCTCCTTCCTAGGATGGAAGGGTTCTAGTGCCCAGGTCAGGAGCTTCCCCCACCCATTCGTACCTATACAGAAGTCCCTCCCCATGCTCACATCAACCCTAGGACCCTAACCAGGGGACTCAGGCCAGAGGCCCAGCAGGTCTTCAGGATCAGGGGTGGAGCTCGAGAAGATGGGGACTTTGTAGAGAATACAGGAGCCAGACAGAGAACCAGAACCTCCCAAGAGAGGCTCACGGGCCATGCGGGGAAAAACAGGCAGGAGAAATTCAGAGACCCCTCATATAAACACTTCTGCTTCAAGGCTCAAACAAAAATCTTATTGTCTGGGACCTTCTTTAATCTAATGGGGCCAGAGGCCAATGGAGGGCCAGCTCAGAAATCAGCAAACTTTCTGTAAAGGGCTAGACAGCAAATATTTTAGGCTTTAATTTAAACATTAATACCTGTTGGAACAAAAGGAAACACAGTTCCTGGGACCAGCAATTAGCGTAATGGCTATGTCGCTGGACTCCCACGTTTGCTGGACTCCCACGTAGTCGACCGCGGTTTGCATCCCGGACCCAGTGGCTTAAAACTCACGCTGGGTGCATGCGCGTGCATGCCCACGATCCCAAGAGGAGAATGGAGGAGCAGGGATTGCGGCGTGGCCATCCCCCCTGGGGAGTGATTTCTCGCTTTCTGTCTCTCTGTCTCTCTCTGTCTGTCTGGCAAGTGCATGCACCTTATAGCAAAAAAAAAAAAAAAAGAAAACACGGTTCCTTTATTTTTTTTAAATCTGCCAGAGGGTATGAGTGCTTGCTTGCCAATGTCTTTCCTATAAGGCCCCTGAGGGTGGCAGGGAGGGGAGAGAAAGTGCCCCCCAGAGATGGGCCACCATGATCTCTTCTCCTCCACCTCTCCCTCCTTTCAGGATTTTGGGTATGCACACATATGCACCCAGCATGTTTTTCAAGCTGCTGGGTCTGGGACTCAAACCATGCAGTTACCCATTGAAGATCCAGCCATCTTAACCACCATGCCACCAGCTGGTCCTAATGCCACAATTTTTAAAATGAACTTCATATTATAATTGAGTATCATTTTTGGTGATGTATTTTGGTGAATAATTATCAGCCTGTGCCCACTCTAATCCAAGTCGGCAAGTGGTGGACCACACCCAGCTGATGCTGAGTGAGGAGCTGGGGGCTAGGACCCCTGATGCTCGGTCCGGCCCCATCTTCTGCACCTCAGGCAGTGCCAACATTTGATCTCCCATCCCCTCCCCTGCCTCTCCACCTTCTCTGAGTGCTCACCTTCTCCCTTTGCTCTACTGACAACAGCAAAAGAGGCTTTCCAATTATTCCACCAACTCGTTAATAATTTTCAGACCTCCAGTTACTCAGGCCAGCCCCTTAAGCAACACTGGACTTGGAAACTTGTGACACGCTGCTTGGCCAGCTCCAGGCTGCTCTGGGGAAGCAGGCTGCTCTCTAGGTTAATAGCTCTGCTTAAGGGGCCCAAGGCTGCCTGCGACAGAGGTCATTAGGGCAATGCTCCGCCTACGCTTAGGACCCCAAGCCGGGACTACAAACTCTCCCCTCCATACTGCCATTTCCAAAGGCACACATGCCATGCCTTCCCCAGCGAGCCCCGTTGTTGCACCATTTGCCTGCCTGTATCTGTTGTAAAGGTGCAACCTGGTACACGGGAGAAGGTTTCACACAACCCTGCAAGCAGACACTTGCTCAGCAAAAACAAAAACAAAGGCCCAGGATGGCCTAAGAGGAAATACTAAAGATTTGAGCTTCTATTGATAGGTCAAGATGGTGGCCTGAGTGTCGATGCATAGATCTTTCCCTCTGGGCTCACCTTTGAAAGAGTTGCTGCCAAGAGAAGCCACAGCCTGGAATCCATAGGGCAGTAGGGAGGGAGTAGCTGGGAGGAACTGCTCTGCTCAGCGCGCCCAGACCCTGGGCTCAGAACTCACAGGAAAGACACTGGACAGGAGTGAGAAGTGTTAAGGCTTTTTAGTACTTTAATAAAATGACAAAACCTTCAGCGTTCATTCAGCTGACTCCTATGGAAAAGACAAGCCACTGAATTAGGTGGCTGATATATTTGGTACCAAATTACCATGTGTACTCCTTTTGTGGTATATATTAAGTTTCTACTCCTTTGTAAGCTACAAGGTTTAACTATAACCATAAGAAGGTAAGAAGAAAGTCAGATGGTGGCTCGGCAGTAATGTGACATTCTGCAAGGTAGACCCAAATGGGGAGGTAACAAGTTCGAGTCCAAAGACCTCCCTGAGTATGCTGGTCATGTGTGTGCTAAGGCTGGAAGTGGACCATGGTGCGAGGACCTGTCAGGGTACCTATTTCTGTCTCTGTCTCTTTTACTCATGGAAGAAAGAAACTTTTTAAAAAAGAAAAAAAAAAAGGTAAGGAGAATACACGCCAGTGGACATGTCAGAGAACTTAGGCTCTAACAACAGTAAACTCAAGGTAATAGATCTTTACCAGACCGACATTTAGAATTAAAAGTGAAATCATTCACTCACTACATTTGTTAGAACTAAAACTTAGCCTGCCATCACCTGGCCCAGGGAGTGATATCACTGGTTAGAAAGCAGAAGAACAAAGATCTAGCCTTGGTTCTTCCACTAACGGGTTGTGTGACCTTGGCAGATTATTCCACTTTTATGTGACTCAGTTGCCTGATGATTCAATAAAGGAAATTATGGGTCTTGGCCTTCCTCTAGGCCTAGTGTGTAGAGCTGGAAGATGCACCAAGAAAGGCAGCAGAACATCAGAGTGGGGTGATCCTGTGCTGTTGAAGCAAGTAAAGATGGAGATAGGAAGAGTAGAGAGAAAGGCAGTTATAAAAATGGTATACCCACATAAACTGAGTTAAAAAAAATAAAGAGAGAGAGAAGGAAAGAAGTGAGCTTCTTTGTGACAACACTATGTCCCAGAAAAAAAAGGTCCAGTAAATTTCAAGAACCTTTAAGCAAAGGTGCCAAGACAACTCCACAGGGAAAAAGAATAGTCTTTTCAACAATCAGTGTTGGAACAAATGAGTAGCTACATGCAAAAGAATGACGTTAGGCCCCTACGTCATACCACATTCAATATTCAGCTCCAAATGGATCAATCAACAACCATTAGGAGAACTAAAACTAAAATAATTTTTAGAAGGAAACAAGTATAAATCTTCATGACTTTGAGTTAGGCAATGGTTTCTTAAGCTATGGCACCAAAAATATAAGTAACAAACAAACAAAAAATAGTTATCCGAGACAATATCAAAACTAAAAACATTTGTGCTTCACACGGCACTATTGAGAAAGTGAAGACAACTCATAAAATGGAAGAAAGATTTTTTGCAAAGGTTTTACATATATCCATAAAAGATCTACAATTAGAACAGAGAAAAAGCTCTTACATGTCATTAGTAAAGACAACCCAATCAGGATCCGAATAAACACTTCTCCAAAAAACATTAAAAATAACCAAAACTCATAACGAAAGTTGGTCAACATCACTAGCCATCAGGGGTATGCAACTCGAAAAGCACACTGAGATACTGCTTCACACCCACGAGGATACAATGATCAAAAGGCAGGTAGCAACGTTGGTGAGGCTGGAGAGAACTGGAACCCTCACACACCGCCAATGACAATGTAAAATGGCAGAGCTGCATTGGAAAACAGCCTGGCAGTCCCTCAAAATGTGAACCATGGAGTTACTATGTGACCCAGCAATTCCCCTCCTATGTATAATCCCTAAAGAAATAAAAACATACATTCACACAGAAATTTGCATGCGTATGTTTACAGCAGCATTATTCGTAAAAGCCAAAAGGTAGAAATAACCCAAATGCCCATCAAATGGCAAAGAGATAAACAAAATATCATCTATCTAGACAAGGAAATTATTTGGCAATAAAATGGAACAAGTACTGATACACACTCAACATAGATGACCCTAGAAAACATCAGGTCAAGTGAAAGAAGCCAGTCATAAAAAGCCATGTCATATGATTCCATACATATGAAAGGTCTGCACAGGCGAGTCCACATGGAAAGCAGACTCATGGTTGCCTAGGACTGGGGGAGTGGGGGACAGGCAGGACAGTGACAGCCAGGAGTACAAGATTTCTTTTAGGGATGATAAAAGTACTCTAAAATTGATTGTGATTCTGTGACTCGATTTTGATTCTGTGAATTTACTAAAAATCACAGGACTGTACGGAGCCTGTTTTCACACTGCAGGAGCGTCACAGCTGTGGTCCCAACACAAGTTACTACAAGTTTACTAAAAATCACAGGACTGTACAGAGCCTGTTTTCACACTGCAGGACCACAGCTGTGGTCCCAACACAAGTTACTACAAGAGCTCCTTTCACTCTCAAAAGTGTTCTGGTTTGTATAAATTTAAGTGACACCACACAGGAGACTGTACCTCTGGGCTTCAGTCTCCCCGTCTATAAAACAAGAGCTACCTAGTTCCAGCAATCTTTGAGCCTAGCACTATTTTCCACAAAAGCAGTATTTTAGAAGAAGCTGTAAAATCTTACCTGGTAGTCACAGGTTTGGAAGATGAATTTACATTAGCAAAGAGCTGAAGCCCTGAGCCACAGGATCCCAGGAACCAGAGACAAAATAAAGACTAATTCCTGAGTCTAGCACAGTGACAGACACTCAAATCTCCCCACAGCCTATTAAGAAAGGTGATCCAACCATTCCGACGCAGGTAAAATACCCTAGACAAAGGCAGTACAAATGAAAAATGAGAAAAACTTAAATTTGAGTCTCCCACCCGAAATACACTGTCCTCAGTGAGTAACCAACTTCTCTAAATGGGATTTTGTAAGGCCAGCCCAGAGGCCCCAGTGTTTCGAAAGTCAAGGTTATCCCATAATACAATGGAATGCTCATCTCCTCATCCTCCTTACCCACGATTACTCAGAAATAAAATCATACTGAACTAATTCAAGAAGAATAATTTTGTTCCCTTTTCTATTCGTGAGTATGAGCCTGAAAATAGTTTTTCTATTCCCACCGCACCCCCAAATCCCCTGAGGAACCTCAGCACTAGCGTGTTTAGACAGCTCTTACACACACGGTGGTGTCTACCACGCTGAGGCAGCAGCAGGTCCTCAGACATAAGGTCAAGGTGAAAGAGGCACAAGGCACAGAGTAACAGATGGATGTCACCAGGTCACTAAGAAGTGAAGCAACCCCAAGACAGTAGAAGGGGAAAACTGCCCCCACAGGCTCAGGGGGCACTGATCACAGACCCAGCTCCCGGAGCAGGAGGTGATGGTACGCGGTGAGGCAGAGCTTTCTCTGGAGGCAGAGGGCGGGCAGAAGTCCCAGCACACATGGCTCCGAGATACTCAATGAGGTCAAGAGCCTGAGTTTCAGAAACGTTGCACCCACTGCTTGCCTCTTTAGAATGCCAGGGCTGGGAAAAAGGACAAGGAGCCGCTCAGAAACTGAAGGCCGAGAGGAAGAGAGAGAAGCCACCGGCTTTCTGCAAGGGGACTTAGTCCGCGGTCTCCGCTGCTGATGGTCTGTAGCTTTCATAGATTGGGCAGGGTCCCTCCTAGCCTCAGCTTGCCAGGCGAGGCCACAGCTGAAAGTGGTGCAGTGTCAACATCCAAGGGGGTCCGTGCGCCGGGAGCTGGAGGCGAGCTGTCCTGCTTCTGCTCAGAGTCCGCACTTCAGGATGATGTGGTAGCCGTCATTGCTCTCCGCTGCAGGACAGAAACACCGTGCTACTTCTCAGAAAGAAAGGCACAACGCCGCGGTTCTAGGGGTCCCAACAGGTGTGGTCTGAGGATACAGCAGAGACCACCGAAGCCAAGCTGTGGACAGCCAAGTGTGCTGGCAGGAGCAGAGACTGCAACACATGCCTTGGCACCCGCCTGGTTCTGTTTCTCTTGACAACAGGTCTTCCTACCACAGCCCGAGGCCCAAGGACGAAAGGGTGTATGTGTAAGCAGGCTTTGGACAAACTGTCGTTCTGGGGAGGAAATGGCCCGGGCCCCTAAAGGCACTCGTTGGTTAGTCCTATGAAACAGAGGAAGTGGCCTTGCCACAGTTCGGGGTCGGTGACCTGGGCAGAGGGTACCAGCTGTGACACACCCCACACTCACTGTCTCAGACCCAAGGGAGGTCACAGCAGGGCTTCTCCACTTTTTGTAAATAAGCACCCGCTCCTGCATGGGCCTTCTCAGCAAAAGACAGGCACATTGACACCCCTCAGACGCCTTTCTCACATTCTCTGGACTCCTCTGCCTGCAGACTTGGTCACTGTACTCCCCAGTAGCCCTCCTGGGAGCCTTTAGGAAACCTCAGAGGTGTCCTCCTTCTACTCAGCATTGGCTTCATGGGGAATAAATTGCCCAGCAAGGAGCTCCCTTTCAGAAGTGACTTTGGAGCCATCTCACTAGCTCCAGCATTTCGAGGGCAGACTTCACAGGAAGTGTGTGCTTCCCTTCTCCCAAGGCTGCTCCCAGGTCTCTGTCTCTAAGGGGCCCTGCCACCCATCTGGCTCTCCCACCTGACACTGTCCCAAGGAAGCAGCCCCCCACCCCCCACTTCCATGACACAAGAAAGGCAGGGAAGAGGCAGAGGGTTTTACCTTTTAATGTGCTGAGGATAAAACAAGATTCATCTTGGAAATTCTGCACCATCTGAAAGGCAAACGAGAGCGTGTGTTCCCATATTCTGAACGTAGCTCAGACTATGAAGGGCCCAGCAACCACAGCCCAGACACTCACAGCCAGAAAAGGCACTGCCTGGGACCAGCAGGTGGCATGGTGGTTAAGACACTGGACACTCCCACACGGCAGACCACGGTTCGAGTCCTGGACCAGGTGGCTTCCTTTCTCACTCTGTTTCTCTTTCTCTCTGTCTCTCTCTGGTCAAATTAAAAATAAATAAAATTAAATAATTCTTTTTTAAAAAAGAAAAAGAAAAGGCACTGCCAGAGCCTCCATGAACTCAGAGGACGTCCAGGCTACAGCCCTCACTGGGAAACGCTGGTGCAGAAGCAATGTCTGACATGATCGCGATTTTTAAGTTATAGAAACCCTTACACAAAGCATAGAACAAACCAAAATATCATCCTATAACACGGGACTGTAGTTTTGCTGATGTATGCTTCTTTTGCTTTTGCTTAGCTCCTAGGCCTCCAATTCCTGGCATGATACATTATAGGAACGTGTACGTGTGCAAGCACAACAGATCAAAAACTAGATAGACCGCATGTGTGCCCACAAGGACATCCATGTCTCTACACACACTGTAACGACAGAACCCGGAGCAGCCCAAAGGTGACCAGCAGCAGAGGCAGCAGCCTGAGGTCTCGTCACAAGTGCTCCTCAGCAGCCGCAGCTGCCTCCAGCGGCCTCCATATACACCTAAGTTTCATATAATCTTTGGATATGATGCTGTACTTCACAGTGTACATTTAAGTACACACTAGCTGTTAGCAAAATCCCTTTCCAAATTTAATAATTGCAACTCTCACCCTATTTCCTCTTCTAGATTATTGCTACAAATCTTGCAAATCCCTCCACCTGCCGACCCCTGCCCCTCCTGCAGGGCCTAATGGTGCGTGAAGTGCGTTTATTCTATATTGCTGGCTGCTCCATCCAGGACTCTTGGCAGCCCAACCAGTTGGCACACAGAGCCTTAAGCTGAGCCCACGCAGGCTAATCAGTAACTCCCTCGTTTAATAAAGTGCCCTTGCACCCCTGAGGCTGGCTCCTTGACTGGCCAGGCTGCCTCCAGCGCTCCGGGCAATTAAGAACCAAAGGTTTCCAATTGATTCAGGGTTAAGAGGCAGGGAGGCTCAGGGAATAAGAACGGGCTGCTTAGCCAACTGGCATTTGAGTTCCGTTCTCTGCTTCACTTGCTTAACTGCCTGCTCTTGAGAGCACAGGGTAAGACAGGGAAGGAACCTCCTCCAGGGACCCATGAAATTGCAAGGGTTCCCCACATTCTTGGCCTTTGTTTCAAAAAAGAAACTCATTCTGATACGCGCAGTGACAAGCTTTCCATGTGCTGGGTAGGGGCTTCTACCTTCCTGGCTATTCTAAAGTGATAGAAGAAATTAGCTACATTAGATTTAAATGTAAAGCTATGGAAGAAATTCTGAATTGGTGGCCAAAACAGCAAACTGCAAGTATACAGGTGGAACTTTGTTGTGTGTGTGTTTCAGTAATTTCATTCTTTCGTTGTGATAGTGCATGTGTACGCACATGAGAGGGAGGAAGAAAGCAAATGAGAGAGAGATACCCACGCCTGTGCACACTACCCGCACACTACCCACACACATTAATTATGACCAGGCAGAAGCACAACGAACCTAATGCAAACACCTCTAGAGAAGGGAATGGAGGAAAGGTCTTCCCTGCTTGCCTTCTATCGTACTATGTTACTTGACTTCTGTTTCTTAAGAATTTTATTTTATTCTTTTAGTTATTGCTATAGGGGGCATGTATTTGCAGGAGAGAGGCAGAGAGAGCGAGAAAGGAAAGGTGAGAAATAACTCTCGGAGAGGGCATGGGTGCACATGCACCCCGAGTGTTTTACAAGCCGCCAGGTCCGGGATTTGAACCACTCCGTTGGACATTAGGATCCAGCCCTTAACCACCATGCTACCAGCTGGCCCTGCTTGACTTCTTATATTAATTACAAACTACTTTCCAATGAAGAAGGAAGAAAAAAACATCTTAATGACCTCTCAGATTGCATGAAATGCTCATGAACGTTAAAGGACTCTGAAGCTGTAATGGCAAGTGGCAATGGATTATTGCTAATGACAACTTCTAAAATACTTAAACTCTAAAAATGTTATATTTTATACACTGCTAAATCTACAAAGCTCTCTTCACCAATTGTCCCCCCCAAATAACAAGTGTCTGGCATGGACAGGCCAGTTACAAGATCCACTGCTTATTCAGTGTCTCTTGGCACCTGGCAATGTGTATTTTCATTTTATCCCACTACAGCCTGTCTGATAGTATAATTGTCCTCATTCTGCAGATGTGGAAACCAAGACTCACAGAGGTTAAGTAACTTTCTTCAAGGCCACTCAGCTACCGAGACACAGTGTGGGGTGAGGATACCAGTTCAATCCCAGACTTCTCTACTTCCCCAGCCATCATTCCTGTACCCAGTTTCCTCTACAGTCCTCTACAGAGGATTTCACAGTTCCTGGGATGTGCTCAGCGTCTGCTTGGAGCTGAGCTGGGGACCGAGGCCCCACCTCTGCCCCTGCCAGCACAGTTCTGCTTTAGCAGGCTGGATATCCTGCTGTCTTGGAGCTTGGGCTCTGCAGCTGGACTACTGGGTCCTCACCCTAGCTCACCTTCTACCAACTGTCCCACCTGGGGTAATTAATAGTCTTTCTGTGCCTCAATTTCCCATGTGTAAGGTGGGGCAAGAACATCTACCCTCGGGAAGCTTCTCAGGATTAAATGAGCTGCTACATACACTGAGAACAGCGGTGAGGACACAGGAGCACTCACCCACTGTCGGGATGTGCTACGTACACTCAGAACAGCGGTGAGGACACAGGAGCACTCACCCACTGCCGGGATTTACTACGTACACTGAGAACAGCGGTGAGGACACAGGAGCACTCACCCACTGCTGTGATGGGCTACGTACACTCAGAACAGCGGTGAGGACACAGGAGCACTCACCCACTGCCGGGATGTGCTACATACACTCAGAACAGCGGTGAGGACACATGAGCACTCACCCACTGCTGGGATTTACTACGTACACTGAGAACAGCGGTGAGGACACAGGAGCACTCACCCCCTGCCGGGATGTGCTACTTATACTGTTTGGAAGAGGGGTCCAGGACAGAACAGGCCTCAAAGCCTCTGCTCTACAATGTGTAAGAAACTGGAGCATGTCAGCAAACCTGTGTGATGCCTATCCACTGTCAGGCAAGCGTACAACACCTGAGCCTTCAGCCAGCAGCTGCCCGTGCCCTCTACAAGCAGGCCTGGGTCACCAGAGACAGACCCAGGAGGGCTGAGGCAGCTAGTAGAGGCCATTGCTCACGCCTCCCAGGAGCCATATCCTCTCCTAGTCTACGATACCCCTCCCCAGACCCCTGTGGCCCTGCCTATAAGCACCTTGAGGGCAGGTGTGGAGTCTGCACTGCTGGCTCCTGCGTAGCTAGTCAAGGCTGGCACGGGGTGGAAGCTCAGCAGCCACTGAGACACAGATGTGGCCTCAACACACTCTCACAGCACTTGGGGCAGGCCTCGGCCGAGAGGCAGGCAGCATACCTCGTTGCTGACCACCACGTGGATGCCCGTGGGTCCCTGGCGGTAGACTCGGTGGATGTGCTGGGGGGAGATGCTGTACAGGTTGGCGATCTTCTCCACCAACTCCAAGGTGGTCAGCTCTTCCAAGAAGATGGCGTGGTACACTGGAGGAGGGGGACAAGTGCCTTCTTTTAAGTGCCTCGGCCCTTCCATGCACCCTGAGAAACCAACAGTTCATTTGTAAGGATGTATGTGCCAGAGTGAGGTGGCAGGACCAGCGGTGAGGGGCACTCCCAGGAGCCACACAGCTGAGTGCCTGTGCCAGGCCCCCGTGCAGCCCACTGACGGGTGAAAATGCCAGGCTGCGGCTCTGTGGTGCTGGGTTGCTCTCTCGGGGCACTTACGTGAAATGTAGACTCCTGGACAGCCCACCCAGCCCAGTGACACCAGCTGGAGAACTGGAGGGGAGAGGCTGAGGGAACATTGGGTCATTCTGATGTGTGGTCAGATGTGCACCCCATTTCAGGATGGAGGAGATCTTGGATCCCCCCCCAACCTTTCCACTGTTTATAGGGGTTATCAAATGGCTTCGGGCGGCAGTTAGAATTGCTACCTAACAGGAGAGGACAGAGAGGTCTGGTCCTGGCTGTTAACCGACAGCACAAACCACACTTGGCTTGAGCATTGTGACCCCAAAGGGAAAAGGGGAGCACCATGTCGTCAGCAAGTTGGAAAATAACAGTGATGCTGGAAACGCTTCCTCAGACAAAACGGAACCAGGTGGGTAGGAGCAAATGCCACAGACAACTCAGGGTGGATCACTCGATTGTAAGAGACCTCGAGTTCGTCAAAAGTAAATACCGGGCCCAGCCGAGATGGTGCGGCCTATAGCCAGTACTGAACTGCAGTGCTGGAAGCCACAAGGCCAGCCACGGGTCTGGGTCCCTGCCAGGGCTGACCGGAGATATGATGGACGTGTGTGCATGCCGCCGGAGGCAAAGGGGGATTACACTGTGATGAGACCCGTCGAGGGTGCCTTTCTCTCCCTGCTCTTTCTCAGTCTCTCATGTGTGTGTACATGCACTCTCCACTCTCTATCATGAATAAAATAAATAAGCTTAAAAAAAAAAGTAAATATAATTGGATTAAAGTCAAGATTCCCAAACTTCTCCCTCAACTAAGGAACCACTGGCTCAAATAACCCTGACTGGATGCCCTGCGTTTCAGAAACACACAGGGCTCCCTTCAACGTGGATGGCGTGCACCTTCCCAGAGAACAAGGCCACCACACCCTGCCCTTCGGGAACTAGTACTGGGTCAGAACCCCAGGCCTCCTCTCTAAGATTCCCTTTTGTAAGAGAGTGTTAACTGTACTTTTTTCTTTCTCAGCCTTTCAGAGTCAGTTCTACTTTTCCTGATTTCATCCCTAAAACAAGCCAGACTGATAGAAAAAAATGAAAGAACTAGGAGGAGTCACCCCTTAGTGCAGAGGTTGAGCCCCATATGTAGGGAGCCAGATCCCACATGGCTGATCATGGTTTGAAGCCCAGTCCCTGGCGGCTTGAGAAACTGGGTGCATGTGCATGCATGCCTGCCTAAAATCCTGGCAGGACAGAGAAAGGAAAAGGGAGGCGGGACTGCAGCATGGTCACGCTCCATTACAGGGTGCTTTGTGTCTCCATCTCTGTGGTGAGCACATGTGCCCTCTAACAAGGGGGAAAAAAAAACCCTCCAAGGAGTGCAGGCTGACACCTTTCACCGCTGGCCTCAGCTGCGCCAGCCTGAGTGCTCAGAGGAAGCAGGACAGGCTGGCAGTGCTCTCATCTCCTCCTGGGCCCCTTCTCAGCAGGAGCCTCGTGGGGTGCAGAGGCTCTCCAGCCTGGCACGGTGGCATGCGCCTGGAGTCCCTACTACTTGGGAGGCTGAGGCAGGAGGACAGAGTTCAAGATCGGCCTGGACATCCTAATGATACCCTGTCTCTAAAGAGGTTCTCAGGTGGGCAATCCAGGTTCAAATCCCGACTCACTGGAAGTAAAACCTGGGATAGTCTCACACCTCCCTGAAGCCTCTGGGGTAGCACCTGCTGCCATGTGGTGTGGGGTACACGCACCACTGAGCCGCCCCATGCACTTGGCTGCCCATTCTGTGTGCGAGGAGATCCAGGAGGCTCAGACTGTCCTTCCTAGCCTAATAGCTGGGAGCAGGGGAGGGCCCAGGAGGGCCTGGACCTTCACTGGACTGGGACTCAGGAGTGAGCTGCAGGGTCCCTGTGTCTGGGTCCTGGCTCCACTCCCCACAACTCACCACACAGGTTGCTGTCCCCTCCCCCGTCCCGCTTCTGCTGTAGGGACACCCGGTTCTGTTCCAGCTCCTGACAGACATAAATGGTCATCTTCGGCCTCACGTTCCTGGCAGGAGGAGAGAGAGGAACAGCAGGTGTAGTGGACCAGGCAGGTGCTGCTGTTCCAGAATGTTCCAGGATGGGAAGAGCAGTGGGAAGGACTCGGGAAGGAGAAAAGATGGAGACAGGGATGCTCAATGCCTGTCACAGGTGGTGGGTGGGAAAGGACAGATCTCCCCGAGGTAGATCTTTAATGGAGCCACGTGGGCTCACCTGGAGGCAGAGCTACCTGCCAAGGGTGAGAAGAACTCTGCCCCAGGGCACGAATCTCAAGGTACAGTTGTTTCCAGAGTGCTAACAAGGGCTAGCACACCCCTGGCCTCCTGCACTGGGTGCTGCTCTCCGAACTTTCCATTGTAACTCATGTCATCTTCACACAGCTGCTGTGTCCTCATCTTACAGGTGAGGACACCGAGGCAGGTTTAGGGGCTCCCCTCCAACACTGCACAGCTCCTTGGAGGCAGATCTGGGATAGGTTAGGGGTTCCCCTCCCACATTGCACAGCTCCTTGGAGGCAGATCTGGGATATAAACCTGGTTCTCTCTCTACAACCACCCTGTCCACGAGTAGCTACTAAAATTTAAATTCACTGAAATTAAGTAAAATGTAAAACTCAATCCGCTGAGGCTAAGAGCCAGGGTAGGCCAGTGGTTCTACATGGCATAGCTGCAGGAGCTCCCCAAGGGCAGGCAGCTCTAAGGGCAGTGCGGCTTGGCCTGCCCTGAACACAGATGTAGGCTGCAATGGACCTGCTCATGCCCATGGCTTCCCTTGGTGGGGTGGCGGCTTGAGTCCAGGACCACACAAACACCCAAGAACCTGAGGAGGCAGCTCTGGAGCTGAGATCCAGAAGCCAAGAAGAGGGAGGGACCTCCAGGCAGGGGCGTGGCAGGGGCTGACTCTCCCATGCAGGGTCCACTCCCCTGCCGCAGCCCATACCCTTCACTGCCCCTCCTCCTGAACTTGTTCCCACACCGAAGAAGGGGCCCTGCCCAAACACCGCCATTCCCACCAGGTCGTCTGCTATCCCAGAGGCTGAGGGAGGTGCTTCCTGCCACATTCGGCTAGGTGACAGCCTCTGTGCCGAGAAACCAACACCCACCTGCCTTTGATGGCATTGAAGAGCCGGATCCCGTCCGCAGGGCCACAGATCTGGACCAGATCATCCCGGGACATCTTCAGCAGGTCGGCCCCTAGGCAGGGAGATGCAGCCACTGGTTACATGGGACACAGAGGAACAGCCCAGCCCAGGCACCTACAAACCCTGCACCTGGTATTCTCTAGAGAGAGAAGCATCAGAAGGCCACAGCCCACAAGATGCCAGAGACTCACCAGCCGGTGTTCTCAGAAGAGCACAGAGGGCCAACCCAGCAGGTAGTGCTACAGGTTAGCCCTGTGTCCACAAAGCCAGAGCTCACGTGCCCAACCATGGTTCAAAGCCTGGCCCTGGTGGCTTGAAAAACATTGGGTGTATGTGATGCCCCAAATCCTGACAGGATGAAGAAATGGAGGACAGAGGATTGCAGCATGACCACACCCCATTGTGGGGTGCTTTTTCCCTTCGAGCACAAGTGCCCTCTGGTAATAAAAAAATTGTAAGTGCATAAAACAGAAGCCAACAGGCCCTCACTGCCTGTGCCTGCCTGCCCCGCCTCTGCACTTTTTATCGGCACACAATCCACATGCAAGACTGTATCAGCACAGTGGCACCAGTGTGTGTGTCTGTACACGGAAGCACACTGCTCGGGGTGGCAGTAACTGAAAACCCTCTACGGGTACATGGCGCAGATTAAGGGGCAAACCTTGCCAGCTTCTCCTGGGCCCCTCGTGCCAGCCACTCCCCTGCTACTGAGGAACACCATCAAGTTCTACTCATTCTTGGGAACCAGCAGTTAGTGTAATGGCTATGTCTCTGGACTCCCACGTAGTCGACCGTGGTTCTAGTCCCGGACCGGGAGGCTTAAAACTCACACCGGGCGCGTGTGCGTGCGTGCCCAAGGTCCTGAGAGGAGAATGGAGGAGAAGGGATTGCGGCGTGGCCATCCCCCCAGGGGGGTGATTTCTTGCTTTCTGTCTCTCTGTCTGTCTGGCGAGTGCACGCTCCCTATAGCGAAAACCTCTCCAAAAAAAAAAGTTCTACTCATTCTCTGTAGTTCATGGAAATGGAACTGAACCGGCTCCTCTGGGGCCAGCTCCCCTCCCTCGAGTTATACTTCAGGGTTCACTCATGCTGACTGTCATTATAGAAGAGGACTTCAAAAGTTAATGGAAAACAGAATTAAAGCATTTGGGGCCAGATGATGGCATGGTGGTTAGGTAGGCTGGATCTCACATAGCTGCATGCATGCTTCCAGTTCTGGACCCAGCAGCTTGAGAAATACTCCAGCCATGAGTATGTCATGCCTAAAGTCCCAAGAGGATGGATGAGAAAGGACAGCAGCATGACCATGACCCATGGGGGGTAATGTCTCACCTCTCTCTCTTTCTCTTTCTCTCTCTTGCAAGTATACGTTCTCTGTGGCAAAAATTTTATTTTAAAGTGTGAGTTTGTTTTGGTGCAAAAATTATTGAAATGCATGCATTGTTTTTTTCATAATATACATTTTCACAAGCTTTTTATATTTATAGCCCTTCTACCCTGTTCATGCCGGTCCATTTCTCATCATGTGCCTACACAATTCACGCTCTCTCTCTCTGCCCCTTGGCCAGTGCCCCTTCTGCCAGGCACTGGGCTGCTTCAGTTTGGGGTTTTATGAATAGGTCTATGAAGACTTGTGTTCACATGTGTGTCTGTAGGGCCAAGTCCCAAAGGGGACTGCTTAGTCACAGAGTCCCCACGGCAGGTGCTGCCCCAAGTGTCATATCAATGTACGGTCCCGGCAGCAGGCTGCAAGGACTGGCTAACACTTGAAGGAACAAAGGAAGGTTGGGACAGAGAATGGTGGGTTAAGAAAAAAGTGGCCACAGCTGAGGGCTGCCCCTTCCTCAGAGCCCCAGGAGTACCCTCGAGCCTGGAACCCTTGGGGACTCTCCAAGGTCCCAAGACACTGTCAGCCTTCTGCTGGAAACCTGCCAAAGGCCATGATCCCCGTCTCTCCCACCAGTCAGATAGAGTGCTATGTACGATTCTGAAGGCACAACGGTGCTCTTTTCAAAGGCTGTAAAACCGACGTCCTTCCATGGTACTGGTGGCCCCTGCCAGTGCCCCTCGGTGCCTCTCTGACCTTGCCTCCTCCTGAGCCCACTCACCCACGACCACACCAGGCAAATCCCCACTTGCGGCCTTTGCACTTTCCCTCTCCACAACCAGTGGCTCACGCCTCTGGCCCCTTTCCAGCCTTTGCTCAAGGACATCATCTCAGCCAGTCCTCTGCAGACCCCTCTGTAAGACCCAGCCAGTCTCTCTCTGTCTATTCAACCCAGCCCTGAGCGCCCCATCACAGTTGCACACACTGACCTGCGGTGGGCAGGTGACGCATCTGCATCGACTCAAAGCTGCAAGCTCCCAAGGACAGGCTCACTGTCCCTCCTGGCAGCCTCCACCCTCACACCCACGGCGCTCAGAAAAACCAAGTGAATGCTGACTCTCCTCCGCTGCCACAGCTGTCCTGAAGAAACGCACCGCTCGTTCTGGCCGAAGCTACTCCTGGTGCTCTAGACTGGCGCCCCCTGGCCGGGAGGCTCGCTGCCATTTCCCAGCCCCACAGCACCCTCTGTCCGGCAGGCCCACAGCCTAAGGCCTTCAAAAAGCTTTTTTTTTTTTTTTTTTGGCACAATAACTACAATTATTTTTTTATTGAAAAGTATATATGTATACTTCTAGTAGAAACATACACGTCTGTTTTTTAATTTTATTTATTATTATCATAATCTTATTTAAGGCCTTCAAAAATCTTTTAAAGAAGAAAGAACCTACTTTCTTTTTTTTTTTTGGAGAGGTTTTTGCTACAGGGCGCATGCACTCACCAGACAGACAGACAGAGAGAGACAGAGAGACAGAAAGCAAGAAATCACCCCCCAGGGGGCATGGCCACACCACAATCCCTTCTCCTCCATTCTCCTCTCAGGATCTTAGGCACGCACGCACACGTGCCCGGTGTGAGTTTTAAGCCACCCGGTCCGGGACGCAAACCGCGGTCGACTACATGGGAGTCCAGCGACATAGCCATTATGCTAACGGCTGGATCCCAAGAACATACTTTCCCATCTCACCTGTGACTTCTTTAGCCCCCAGGTCATGGCTCTGCAGTGTGACAAGAGTTACAAAAGGTCTTCAGAAAGTTCGCGGAAAATGCACATCACCAAAAAAACGGCATGGATTTCATTGTGTATGTGCCAAAAGAAATGCATAGTTTAATTCCATTTTTCTTTGAGCTTTTTGAACTTCCCTTGAATTTTGGTAGGAAAAGTGCAAAGCTTTGCCAAGCATACACCACTCTGCTTGGCTAAGGGGACCCCCTTCCTGGGCAGACTAGAGCCCGCGTTCCCCCCATAGGTGAGAGAATCCTTTTTTCTTTTTTTTAAGTTTTTGCCCTAGGGGGTATGTACATTCACTAGAGAGGGACAATGAGAAATTGCTCCCCAGGAGGGATGACCACACAATCCTTTCTCCTCCATTTTCCTCTCAGTGTTTTGGGCACACAAGCACACGTGCCCCATGTGGTTTTCAAGCCACCAGGTCTAGGACTCGAACCATGGTCAGCCACATGGAAGACCAGTGCCTTAACCACTATGCCACTGTTGCCCTCCCTCCCTTCTTTTTTAATTGCCAGGTGGTATGTGAGCTAGCCAGAGAGAGGGCCAGACAGAAAGAAAGCACCTCTTAATGGGTGTGGTCACATTCCGATCCTTTCTACATTCTTCCATTCCATCAAGATTTTGGGCATGCATGCATAGGCTCTCCGCATGCTTTTCAACTCCCAGGATTTGAACCCCAGTCACGTGGGATCTGCAGCTCTCAACATCCAGGGCTCACCTGCTCCATAGCAGGCCAGCCTGGTAAAGGGCTCTTGATAAAGCCATCAAGACAGCCTCTAAAGCCACAGTGGCTGGGCACTTCCAAAAGCAGCATCTTTTATCTCTAGCACTTGATCCAGGTCCAGGACACCTAAACATGTAAACCCCATTACCCCAGAGCCCCCCAGACAAAACCACAGGCTCACAGGGTCCAAGGGCAAGTCCTGGAAGGCAGCTGGCCTTGCTGGGTTGCCAAGGCACCTGTGGTATTTAAACACAGCTCAGAAACGCTCACCTGAGAAGCTGGCAAAGAGGCGGCAGAACTGTGAGAACCGGTTGCGGTGGAGCCACTGCTGGGCATCTTGGATAGAGGCCGACGGGAGCAGGTGCTGTGGGCAGAGAGGGGGGCCTTGAGGTGACCATGTGGGGCCTGCCTGCCCGGCACCACCAGCCAGACCCCAGTGCAAGCACTTACATCACTACCCATGGGCAGGGCCTCCAACGGGTGGGTGGGAGAGTTGTTGCTGCAAAGGAAAGGATAGGCAGTGAGGACAGAGCAAGCTCTAGGGACAAGCCAAAGGTCCCATCACCTAGTCTGGGCCAATGTCCCAGCAGGCGTGGAATCTGTTTCAGTGAAATGGGTCCTCAAGAATTTCTAAAGGCCCGGCCTGGTGACACAGTCAATAGCATACTGAACAGAAGTGCTGGAAGCCACATGGCCAACCGCAGGTTTGGATCCCTAGCCTAGACAGCCTGAAACACACAGGGCATGTGTGTGCAAGCTCAACACCCCGAAGAGCTGCACGGCTGAGAAAAGGGGCCACGCCCTGATGATACTCCATCAAGGGTGTGCACACCCTGCCATGTGATCTCCATCAAGAATAAAATAAACAAACAAAAGTCATTTTTAAAATAAGTTGGGAAACTTTGTTTTTGTTTTAATTATTTTATTTAACTTTATTTATTAATTTATTTATTTTTTAATTTGACCAGAGAGAGACAGAACAAGAGAGAGAGAGAGAAAGTGAGAAAGCAAGCTGCCAGGTCTGGGAGTCAAACCGTGGTCGGCCATGTGGAGTCCAGCGTCCTTAACCACCATGCCACCTGCTGGCCCCAACAAAAAAATTTTTAAAGCAGCATTTCCTGAGTGAGAGAAACTTAAGTAGGAGCCAATATCCAACCCCTCAAAATCCCCAATTAACCCTTTGGTGTAGCTGGGAGGTCTAGTAGCCTAGACTGCCCTGGCCAAGGATGACCCCTCAAGCCCAAGTCGCAGCAGCCAGGCCCTTTGCTGGTTGACCTGTTAGTCTTGTGCAGGATTCCCTCCCACAAGGAGCTTCCCACCCCAGCCCCAGTACAAGGGAACCTCAGGCTGACCAGGGAACCTAGGTTGACCAGGGGACCCAGGCCACCCTCCTTAAAGGAGCTCAACCTCTGAGAAGCTGCAGCCAAACTGAAGGTTGCCCCATCCAATGACTGCTCTTATATGTGGCCACAGGAAAGGGCACAGAAGTCCCTGGGGATTATGGGGCAGTGACCAAGCACCACCGCTTGTCATCCATTCATGAGGAAAACACTGCCATGGCTTTCCAAAATGGCAGTATTACAGGATAACTCACAGTGGGAGGCCAGACCTGAACACCTGGGTTTTTCAGTTAAAGCTACCGGAGGTCTAGACAGTGGTGCAGGGGTAACACAATTTTCTAAAAGGCTAAACCACATGGGAAGGTTCCGGGTTCACATCCAGAAACCTCCCCAAGCATGGCGGATACACACATGTGCCTATGATTCAGGGTTGCTGAGGCTGGTGGGGGAGAACAGTGTGAAGACCCTGCTGGGGTGCTGTCTCTCTGTCTCTGTATCTCTCACTCATGGAAAAACAACTCAGAAACAGCCCTCCAGATGGACTGTGGTGATAACTCCACAGCAATGTGGACGCATGCACTGCCACCAAACCACATTGACAAATGGCTACAGTAGTGAATGTCCATGTTACATTTGTTTTACCACAATTAATAACACAAACAAAAAAAAAAGAAAGAAAAGAAAAGCCCCTCACAGGGATGCTCCTTAAACCAGTCAAGCAGCTGCACTTCATCAGGAGTCTTTCAGGTACCAGGCATTGGACATAGGCTCCCGGGCCCTACATGCAACTCGTGCTCCCCTCTGGCACCGGGGAGACTGAGGCTTGGGCTGGGGAGGTTAAGGGAACCATCCCCCGAAGGTGTAGATTCAAGACTAGGTATGCCTGAACCTAAATATGACTTCAGACTTTAGGAACAGGACGTTGTGCCTTTCCTTGGTCTCCCTCTCCCCATGATGACTCTTCACCTTGGTCAAACCGAGTTCGTGGGCAATCCGCTTTCCCGTTAGAACAGTTCTCTGCCTGCTGAGCAAGGGCAGAAGCTGTGTGGTTTAGGTAACCCCTCTGGCCTGGCGCTCTCCCTGCCTCCACCTGGTCTCAGAACAAGACATGCCGAGCCATCACAGTGATGCCATGAGCCCTGTGCTGCAGGAAACTAGCTCCTGCGAGGCCTGTCACTGTGTCCTGGGGGTCAACGTGGCCTGTGTGTTTGCAGGTGGCAATAAGACCAGATTCTGTGTTTCAAGCCCTGAAACCCAGACAGAGAGGATCCAAGACAGATCCACGCCTCTCTGTGGATGGCCCAGGAGCTGGAACAAAGCACGGAGAAGACCCTTCCAGTCACATCAGCTGGACCTCCACTGTACAGGGAGGCCATTCTGCCCCAGAGCGCACCTGGGCCATCTCAGGAGGCCATTCTAATACATCCTCAGGCCAGACAGGGAGAGTTTTACTGGGGTGAGTTCTGGACTGCTGTCCACCAGAAGGGTTTCAGGGCATGAAAAGCTGTGATGTTAAAAATGGTTATAACTACAGCCCCAGGTAGCCACCCTGAAATCCAAATAGCTGGCAGGCTATAGGAAAGATGGAAGACCCAGACAGCAAGGTCAAGAATGAACCTTGCACCCACCACTCAGGACCCCACGGGAAAAAGGTGGACATACCCTTCGCCGAGGCCGAAGCTGTTTGGAGAGCCATTGTAGCTTGGGGACGGGGCACTGTTGACCTGGTAGGCCACGTCGGGCCAGGGAGAGCACTGTAGGAAGAGGGTACAGGGCACGTGACTGACGGTAATGGTCTCCAGGAGGAGCTGGAGCCCGTGGGGGTACCGACCTCCCTTGGGCCCTCCCAAGCAGCATCCGGAAGTAATGGCATGAAACCCCTGGCCCGTGAAACCATTTCGACTGGAAGTAATGGCACAAAACCCCTGGCCCACGAACCATTTCGACTGCATCTATCCGGTGCCCGCAAGGAGTCACAGAGGGCAAGTTGCCAGGATCCCACAGGGGAGACCAAGTACAGCAGAAAAGGAACCCAAGCTTCAGGAAGTCACGCCTGGAACAAGCAAAGTGTGGAAGGTGCTTCCTAGCAGTCAAACTGAGTGAAACAGCCTCAGCTAGGTGACTCCCAGATCCATAAGAAAAGAACTGGAAAACAGAACAGCCAGCTGCTGCTGCTCAGAGTAGCTTTGCCCCGCACATACAATCTGTCACTGAATGTGACAGGGAGCCCGGGACCACTGGTGACCGCCAACCACAAAACAGCCAGCAAAATTCAGTATTAGGGGCCAGACAGCAGCGCAGGGTGGTGCAGGGCTCTTGAGGCCGACCCACAAGGAAAGCTCCATGTCTAGGAACCTCCTCGTGCACCAATGTGTGCACGCACACGTGACCATGACCCAGGGCTGGCTGAGGCTGGGGGTAGAGCACAGCGCCAAGTTCCTGTTGGGGGTGTGATCTCTCTGTCCCTCTCTCATGGAAGAATGAAGTAGACAAACTTTAAAAAAAAAAAAAAAAAAAAAAAAAAAGAAGGTTGGCTCCATGGCACAGAGGTAATAAATGCACTGCTAACAAGAAGCCAGATCCCACCAGGTGACCACAGTTCGAATCCCTGGCCTGGTTGGCCTGAAACACTCTCAGCATGTATGTGAGTGCCCAGGATCCCCCCAGGCTGGAGGACTGGAGGGGGATCGTGGCATGACAAGACCCCATAAAGCGTGCCCACTTCTCTTCCTCCCTCTCACTCTATCATGAATAAATATATATACGGGGTCGTCTGCAAAGTTATGACACATTTTTGCATAGAAAAACATAGAAAAATATGTCATCACTTTTCCAGAAACCCAATACGTCTGAGTGGTTCCAAACTTAAAAGGTACAAGCAAGTGTACAACAGAAAATAACCCCACTGATGTTGTCTTTGCTAAGCATTCACATATGGATGCTTAGAAAACAATATTTTAAAATTTAAAAATTCAACCTGTGCTATTTTTTTTTTTTTTGGAGAGGTTTTCGCCATAGGGCGCGTGTGCTCGCCAGACAGACAGACAGAGAGAGACATAGAGACAGAAAGCGAGAAACCACCTCCCAGCCGCAATCCCTTCTCCTCCATTCTCCTCTCGGGATCTTGGGCACGCACACACATGCGCCCGGCGTGAGTTTTAAGCCACCAGGTCCGGGATGCGAACCATGGTCGACTACGTGGGAGTCCAGCGACATAGCCATTACGCTAACTGCTGGTTCCCTAACCTGTACTATTTTTGAAAACAGGGCTTGCTGATGGGGCCCAAGGCAGCAGGAGAGACACTTGCAAGTCACCAAGGCAGGACCTCTCAAGGCCACCGCATGCATATGTACTTCATCTCAGGCACTCTGCTGGGAGCTACACAGAAACACAGAGCTCTGACCCATGCCCTCGAGGAACCAAGAGTACAGAAGACAAAATGAACATGTGTAGTGAGGGGTGGGGGTCTCCTAAAGAAAGACAGACAGGTTTACCCTACCAAGGGGAGTCGGCTAACAAGGTGGTCATTTCTTCCCTGCCCTGCAATGACGCCTCCCGGAGAGGGCCAATTTGAAGCATTCCTGAAGACTTACTATCACCCACTGAACCACAGCTTGGTAAATATTTAACCCCACTGTGAGCATGGGCTGGAATTCTGGAATTCATTGGTGCTAAATCCTACAGCGAGGAGAAAGCTGATGAGCCGATAGGAGGGGTCACCTCCCCAGGACACGGGCCAGGTGGGGTTCTCCACTAAACACCCACACTGTGACAAAGGCTCAGACAGATGGCGTGTCAGGAGAGGAATAGAGGGGTGGAGGAGACAGAGGCACCACCAGGCAGGGACACACAGGGCAGCTCACCAGCACAGGCAGGACTGGGCACAGGAGCAAGCTGGTCCGAGCTCTAACCCACAGAATACAGGCTGCCACTCCTTTGCTGGCTTGGGGTTGAGGGGTAGGACAGGGGACTTCCTGCACCAGGGCTCTCTGTCACTGTCATCCCAGATAAAATGCCAGTGCACATCTGTCTGAACCATAAAACTAGCCTTGACACTTGTTCCAAATTCTCTCCTGCGTAACACTTATTACACAGGTATACACACATATATGCATGCTCACAGTACCTGGTAGCCAGGACCAGGCCACTGCGTTTCTGTGACCAGGCCTTACCTTTAACAAGCTCTAACCTTGCTAGGGCTGGCATGGGCCTTATACATGTGTGGGGTCTTCTGAGTTAGTCCTATTACCCAGTCAACACAGACTAACACCAGAAAACAAGGGGGAATAACTGTTCGAAACACATGGAGTCTAGTAAAACAGAGGTGCAGGATGTGAGTCACATCACCAAGAGGGGAAGTCTATGACTGTGAGCGACTCCATAGCACCCCTGGACATAGGATGTGTAGAACAGGCTGCTGTCAGTGTTGAGAGGAAATGCAGGGGCCCGCAGGTGGTGTAGTGGTTAGGGCGCTGGACTCCCACATGGCCAACCATGGTTCAAGTCCTGGATCCGGCAGATTGCTCTCTCATCTTCCCTCTCTCTCTTTGGTCAAATAAAAATAATAATAACAACAAATAAAATATTGCTAAACAAACAAGTGAATGGAAAAGCAGTTTAATAAAAAAGTAGTGGAAATAAATGTCCAAATCTATCCAAACAACGTAACAGCAATGCATGCAGTTATGTGACCCCTCCTATGAAGGTGGAGCCCTATAGGTTTCCTCCCGATATGCAGACGTTCACGCACACAGGTATTCACTGCACCGCTGTCTGAAATGGCAAGGGCTCGGGAATGACCACGCGCCTGCCCCCAGGCCATCACACACCAAAGCTATGCAGCTGCACAAGGAACTAGAAAATTCTTTATAAACAGATAAGGAACTGATGAGATCTTCTCTCAAGTGGAAAGAGCAAGGCACAGCACCATGCGTCTGTGTGTGAGGACAGGCACGTGGAGAGCGTGGGCACAAACTGGCTTCCCATGCAGAAAAGTCGGGCTGGACATACCAGGACCTAGAGACTCTGGCTGACCTCGGGGAGAAAACACAGTCTGGGGCAGCGTCAGCAGGGCTCTTTTTCTGTTGTACACTTGCTTGTACCTTTTTCATTTGGAAACACCTGAATATATATATATTTTTTTTTGAGAAGTTTTTGCTATAGGGCGCGTGCACTCGCCAGACAGAGAGAGACAGAGAGACAGAAAGCGAGAAATCACCCCCCGGGGGGATGACATAGCCATTACGCTAACTGCTGGTCCCCCACCTGAATATATTAACTATTGAAAATAAAAAAATACCCTCATAATGAAAGCACAAGTGCATTCAAAGGCAGCAGAGAGCTTGAAGTTATTTCTGAATACCACCCGGACCAATGGATTTTATCAAATGGACCTGAGCTCCAGACTGGGAACACACAACTGGGTAGGCACTCCCAGAAGACGTGCTTGTCCAAGGTGGGCAATGTTCCCAGAATCTAGCTGGCAACCTGCACTGATGAAAGGCCCTGGGAGGCTCCATCCTGTCCCACCCAGCTCACCTCTGTGAGGATGGTGGTTTCATAGGACGGCTGGTACTTTTCCTTCTCTTGGACAGTTCTTTTCTCCATCTTCTCCCGGTCAGTCTTCTGCTTTCGGTCAGCTCCCTTTGGCTGAAAATGAGAGTCCAGCATCTAATTAGTCCAAATGGGCAAGGATGGCTGTCAGGGATCCCAGGGGTGCCAGCAGTATCTCACAGACAGGAAAAAGCTCTCTCACCTCCCGGTTGTCAAACACATAGTCCCATCTGCCTAATACAGGTCCTGGTTACAGGTGAGTCCTGCCCCCGAGATGCTGAGGTGGGTAGGGATGAAAAGACCGACAGCCACTTGCTTATGCAAAGGAACCTTTGGAACCAGTGCACACCCTAAGTGGCCCAAAGAGAGCAAAAGGAAGTGGAGGAGGTAGGGGCTACAGTCAAGATATGGAAACCCTGGCCATACGCTAAGAGGCTCCATGGCACCACACTTAGGCGTTCTGCCCAGCTCTCAGACTACCCTCCACCTGCGGGGCAAGGCCTCTTGGCCATACGCTGAGAGGCTCCATGGCACCACACCTAGGCGTTCTGCCCAGCTCCCAGACTACCCTCCACCTGCGGGGCAAGGCCTCTTCCCTGATACGGCTAAGTTACAGCAGAGGAGGCCATCCAGTGGGTGCCCAACAACTCGAAGGAGCCCAGGCCTCACGACTACTGATACCCTCATTTACAGATTAGGAGATTGAGGCTCAAGCATTTCATCAGGCCTAGAGGAACCAAGCACTGACCAAGCACAAGGCCCATGGAGTGGAGCACAGGGCTGGCCTACAGGTCCAGGATCACTGCGATCCTGACCTCATCATGTTAGTCCAGTGCATTCACCTCTTTGAGCTCATGGCCTGGTTGGTGCATTTCCCATACCAAGACTCTGAACAGTCCCAGAACTGAGCTGTTTCACTAAGACGGCAAATCACATGTGGTAAATGGGCAATGGAAACATTCTCCAAGCTCCATGGCACCTTTAGGATTTTTTTAAAGGCTGTTTTGCTACTGTGTGCATGCATTCACCAGGGAGAGACAATGAGAGTGTTAGTGAGAAATCACCCCTCAAGGGCTATGGCCTCACCACAATACCTTTTCCTTCTCCTTCTGGGATTTTGGGCATATGTGCACATGCACCCAGTGTAATTTTCAAACCACCAGGTCCAGGACTTGTACTATGGATAGCCACGTGGGAGTCCAGTGCCTTAATCACTATACCCCCTGCTGGCCTCTCCTTTGGGATTTTCATTCCAGCAAGCACCTCCCACAGGTTACACCTTTTGCCTCCCAGCTCAAGATATTTAGGGAGGCATCCATCCCTGAGGGCAATGCCCAGCTGGACAAAGATGGGATTTCAGGAAGCCACATGAGAACATGAATGACAGGCCTAGTATCCAGTATGAGAGTGAGGTGTAGGTCCAGGAAAGATGTCAGGGACCTAGGCATGTGGCAGCCACACTCTCATGACCTCACCTTCTGCTCCACCTCCAGATCCCAGAGATTTTCCTCCCTGCCCAGAAACCACAGGCAAAGTGGGGTGACAGTCAGACCATGGCCAAGACTGCATATGGGACATGGTGCCCAGCCTCAATAAAGCCTGTGGGGAGTCTGCTGGTCAAGGGGTCTGGCCTTTCCTTTGAGGGCTCCTGGCACCTCGTGCAGAGCCCCAGGGCATGGCTCCAATAAGCCAAGGCCTCCTAGCAGCTGACATGGGTCATCAGGGATGGAGGAATGAAGGACAGTGGGGTCTGGCTTGGCCTGAAACCTCAGGTCTCCTGAGGACCCAGTCCTGGGTGATGAGGAGCCCCTACCCCACTATAGGAGATGCCAAAGCCTTCCTCGGGTCACTCAGACATGGTGGCTTCCAGCCCAATTCCCCAAACAGCTAGAATGTGGTTCAGGAGCCTGATGGATAGAGCCCTAACCCCTGAGCTTCTGACTCAAGATGCAGAAAGGGAGCATGGGGGCCTTGAGAAAGACAAGGCACTCTATGGGGCAGAGGCCCCTACTCTGTTCCTCTCCTACTGTTGAGGAAGTGACCTGCTACCTGAGGGTGGGAAGCAGCTGAGGGACCATGGACATGGTCTATATAGGACAAGGCAGAGGGTGAACCAGAGGGAAAGGAAGTAGAGGGCTGGGCCTCTCCAGCTGGCTGTGAAGATGGAGGGAGTGGCCAGGAGTCAAGGAATAGGAGGGCATCCTCGAGCAGCTGGGAGAGGCAAGGACACAGGTTTTCCCCACAGACTCTACGGAAGAATGCAGCTCAGCCACGTTCGGCCCAGTGAGACATGGGGTAGGCTTTGGACCTGGGTACCGCGAGATAGGAAAGGTGGGTGCTTCTGAGTCACTACACGGTGATGTTACCATGGCAGTACCGAGCACACACAGGCATAGCACCACTGCCTCTGGAGGCCTCCTCTGGAACCTTCGTGGTCCTGATGTGGGATCTGGAGGTGTCCGCGCTGACAGGGAAGACTACATCATTCCTACTACTTTTCCCCACCAGGTCCCAGTCACTGAGGCCTCCCCATCCACGGAACCTGGCCAGGACCTCGGACCCTTTGTCTGCCGTCCTCAGATAGCCAGACCTATCTCTGTGGAAACTGGCAGGCTGGCTGTGTGGCTCCTGCACGCAGACAACAATGCCCTGCCCGTGCTCTGGTGTGCCAGGCACTATGGCAGATGCCAGAGAGTGACACAGCCCTGCCCGAGTCTGAGGCTGCAGCCTAGGTAGGAAGCAGGATGGACCACCACCCGGATGTCCAGCTCTGCCTGCGGGTATCCACGTCCACATCCAGAAACCTGCAGGAAGGCCAGCACCACCCCAGCTTTGTCCCTAACAGTACCCGGTCTGAAATAACTCACTCTGCAGCCCTAGTAGGTGGGACTTATATAGCAGGTTCCAAATTCACTGCAATGTGAAAGAAGCGGGTGATGAGGCAGGCATTGGGGCTGGTTACTCACAGCCCCACCCCCTCTTGGTGGGCACCTGCTGGAGTCTCCCAGGCTGAGGCACATCAGGCCTGCAGGGGATAGGGCCTGTAGGGACGGGGCCTGCAGAGGATAAGGCCTACGGGGATGGGCCTGCTGGTACAAAGCCTGCAGGCTTACTTAGGCACAGGTCACCTGCTGCTCTCAGAAGGAGGCAGGGGAGTGAGGCAGGCTCTGCTGCTACCCTCCAGACCTCCAAATCCACATGGAATGGGGAGGTGGATTGCAGGCCACCTACTTCAGCAAATAGTACAAACTGACAGGAGATTGCAGGGGAGGGAGTCAGAAAGCAAACAGAGGGGCTAATTCTGAAAATATTTCTCTCTCCAAGACAATACCACTACACAGAGAAAAATGGCCTGGGGCCCTAAACAGAAAGAACTATGGCCAGGTTCTCAAGAGTGAGGTTCCCTGACTTTTTTGCCATAAGATGCATGTGCTTGCCCAACAGAGACAGTGAGAGGAAAAACAAGAAATCACCCCCTGGGGGGATGGCCATATCACAATCCCTCCTTCTCCATTTTCCTCCTGGGATTTTGGGCTTTCACACACATGTGCCTGGCATGATTACCAAGTCACGGGGTCTAAGACTTGAACTGCAGTTGGTCATATGGGTGTCCAGTGCCTTAATCACCACGCCACCTGCTGGTCCCAACTTAACCTTTTTTTAATGATAGAGAATGTGTATGCATGTGTGAGAGAGAGACAGACAGAGATGGACAGAGAGAAGCACAGTTGACTGGGTCTCATCATGCTGTAACCCCCTTCCTCTGGCTCTCCAGCTCATCACGATCCTCATCACATACCTGGCATGTTATCAAGCTGACCCAGGAATCTAAACCCACAGTCAGTCATGTGGCTTCCAGCACTTGCAGTTCAGTTTAACCTTTTTTTAAAAATATGCCAAAGGGCTCTTGCATTATCCAGAGAAACGACCCCGCAATGGGGTATGAGACGTTGCAATCCCTGCTCCTCCATCTCTTCATCTTATCGGAATCTGGGGCATGCACGCACTCATGACTTTCAAGCTACTGGGGCCTGGGACTGGAACCACTGTTGCCCATACAGAATCCAGTTCCCATAGCCACCAGGCTGCACGGTCAGTGATTGGCTTGCTTCTGACTGTACCACCAGGCTGGGCCCTGACTTGATTTTTTTTTTTTTTTTTGAGAGGGTTTTGCTCCAGGGGGGGTGCGGTCACCAGA